ATTGGTGGAGCGGTTACCAAGATATACACATGTAATCATAAGTGGGCGTGGCTACGCGAATTTTCCAAAAATTTATAATATTCTTATTTTTCGTCTAAAAATTATTGTAAATATAAATTTTTTGTGAATAACCTTCAGTAGTTACTAAAATATCGCAGTTTTCGTATTTCTGAAAACTACCGTTATATGGGAGCTAGTCGTGGTTGTTGTCCGATTTGGCCCAATTTCAATACCATCCATCAAGTTTCGTTAAGATATCTGAATTTTTACTCGAGTTATCGTGTGCAAAGCCGGACGGACAGACAGTCACCGCTTAATCGATTTCTCTTTTCATTCTGATCATTTATGTATACATTGGTCTGTATCTACCTATCTCGATTCGTTACAAAGAACCGTTATGTGAACAAAGTTATAATACCCGCACGGGTATGAGAAAATATAAAAATAACTGCCATGTACACTTTGTTTGGAAATGGCGGACGGATTTAAAATTGAATAAATATCGAACAGCTTATTGCTGATTTCCAACTACCAGAAAAATTATCAAGCTCCCGTCACGATACTTCAGTAGCCGGTAAACCGATAATAAATGAATATAATCTTATGCAAACAAAATGCATGTGGAAGAATTGCTGAATGCCGAATTACCGAGTACCAAGCTCGGTGTGAAGGCCCCTATTTTCAATATCCTGCTTTTCTGTGTCAAATACAATAATTTTACCGAGTCAAATTTTTGAAAAAGTAACTTAATATATAATATCTAGAGAATACGTTAACCGATTGAAGCAAACGATGTATCAGATTATAGGTTATACAATTTCGTATCTCGCGTTCATATGTTATTTTGTCACAACATTTCAAATTGCCGATATATTTTGAAAGAACACTCAAAAAATAATCTTTTCTCATACATAAACATTTTTAGTATCTCGTTAATTCAGTAACCAAGTGAATTAACTTAAAAAGTGACCCGAGAATTATTTCAAACGGTTTGGCTTTTTGTATGTCCGTGCTATATTTATAGGGTCATACGTGTAGTTAAACCTCGATTTAGATAGTTCTCAAAGTTATAGTTAACGACGTCAATGCGACCTATTCTGGATATGGTATAGTTTGATAGTGAATTGAGTACTTACATATGTAGATTCACTAAATATGAATAAGTGGAGCCACATCCAATTTTAGTATATTATTTAATTCATTTAATTTAATATATCATAAAAATTGCACAAAGTTATTTGATAAGTCACCACAGTAGCACAAATAAGAGACACTGAGATAAAACTTAGTAAAATTCCAAGTAATTTTTTTAAAGGTAGGTGAAATAGGTAACGCTCCCGCATTATCTTGCTAATATTTTTAGTTATTTATAATATTATGGAAAAATTTTCGTTGAAGAAAGCTATGGATGCATTTATCGATCAATCGATTGATCGATTAGTAAGACTTACTAAAATAAAGGCCAGATATATAGCTATAGACTCAAAATTATTATAATAACGCAATGATGGAATGCCATCATTTACAGGCAAAAATATTTAAATAAATTTAAATAAATTTTTTTTACAAAAATACCTGTTTTGACAACAAAAGTCTATTTTTACATAGTATGCTTAGACTTAAGTATATCAAACCAAGGCATAACAAGGTAGAAGTGATTTCGACATTTCTCTCTTTTGAACTGCGACTATAATGTTAACTCTTAACCCTATACAATTCAAAATTTTAATTTTTTAATTTCAATTTTGAGCTGGGCGACTGATTTTAAATACATATGTACATACAAAAATAAAATGAAAAGGAATTACGAGCGGTGCGCTCTGTGCAGCAAGAGCAGGGACAACAAACTTGTGCGTTAATTTAAACCTCCTAATTGTCAAGTAAAGCGACAGCGGTGGGCAAGTAGCTGCGTTGTTCCATTAGGAGACTCTTCGCGTGTGTGCGAACACCATTTTAGTGGGCAGTGACTTTATTTGTTGCCCATCACAGCCGAGTATTTCCAAGCGGACGCGTTTGTTCCCAGGTGCAGTACCTCTACCATACAATTCCTCAATGCTTAAAACTATGTTCACATTACCAAAATAAAATACTTAGTTTCGTTTAAAATACCTCACTAAATTAAGTGCGTTCATACACGCGATTCTTTATTTGTCTTGACAGCTTTGTAGCAACCCTGTGTTATTGTTTATTCAACCAAAAGAGATCGCGAATGTGACTAATTGCGTATATTTTTACATTCTGAGTTGTTTGTGGTAATTTTTTAGATTTTAGATGAGTGATCAAAAGAGAAAGCTTCTGGAAATATTTGACAAACTACCTCGCGCGATTATTAAAAACAAAAACGTCCAAACACAATGACATATCAGTTATGGGACAATACTTTTTTCGATTATTATCGATAAAATTACAGCCGACACTAATTTGTTCGTGATTTGGTTCTTGGTTTAAGATAAACTACGTACTTTCAACTTAATTTACTGAGAGACTTTACAAGGCGAAATTACTTAGTTTGTACATAATTTATGCGTAAATTAAGATTGACCTCTAAATTACGCCAATGGGAACATAGTTTAAGTTACCTGAAGTGTCGGCCGTTCCTGAGGTGTCTGTGGGGACGAAGTTGTTGATGCACAGACCCAAACTGAAGTCTGCCATAAACAAGCACGACCGGATCCACGAGTACATTAACATATACATATAAGCAAACACCATGATACAATTTCCTTCCACTAAATTTACCGCTTTATATCACCATTTACTGTTATAAATTCGACATTCTGGTTCTTAACATCCCTTTTCCTTTTTTCATAATGCCATGTGAAAAGAGTCGAATTTTTACTTTTCATACATTGCTGGATTTATCATACGGAAATTAAGCATTACTGAATATGAAGAGAAAATCTCCCACTCATATACATGGATAGACCAAATTTCAAATGGTGGTATGATAAAACCTAAACCAGAATTCCTTGTGGACATAAAGAAACTGGAAGTAATTTTTAATAAATTTATTGGAAAGGAATTTCGCGTTGCAAAAATTTAATTGCTGAATTATTGAAGTTAAGTTCCGATGTAAATGTAGAAGAAAGAATCAAATTTTTTTTTTTAATTTCGAATATACTCTAGAATTAAGTATTTGAATAAAAAAATAAATGCTCAAAAACATTGGGCTAATAAAAACAAGAAAATTGCCAAAACGGGTTTATAAATAATTGTGTTTCATTTAGTGTGTAATTTTTAGTGAGTATGCATTTCAACATTTACATACATTAAACGAAAATACAAAAACTAAATGAAGCCGATTTTAATGTGATTTTAAATATCTTCATATTTACAAAAACTTTCATTTCATAGATATTGAATTTTATCAAATATGGTGCATGCATAACAAAGGGTTAATTTCTTTGTTTACGTTTTTTGACATTACAGTCAGGTATGAGAGAGCTCGACTCATGGTGAAATAAATATAAGGTGATGTCACTTACATAACCTCACTTTTTCTGCATGCCAATTGCGGTCATGCATTTGAGGGTAGTTGAAAAAGGGGGAAAAAATTTGGATTATTTTTACTAATTTTTGGGTACTATTTCCAATACTGATTTGGAATATATACATATGGACATATATTCAAAGCTCTCGCTATCAGTGTATTTTCCTATAAGAAATACTTTTGTTTAACTGTTTAAATTCAATGAATAGGCATACAAACAAAAAAATTGTTTATTTATATCATTTTATGGATTTATTCAAATCTTTAATACGAAAATGCATTCTACATTTAAAAAAAAGTTTTTTGACATTATCCGCCATGTGAGAAATTATTATTACTATTTTTATTTCCATCAAAAATAATGATTATAATAATTATTCAGTTTTATTTTTCTACCTCAAAATTATTATATATAAAACTTAAAAGGCCACGTAGACGTACCACATACATAAGAGGTAGGTTAAAATTAAAAAAAAAAATAAAAACTATTTTCCGCCCTTCATTTATTCTTATTAAAACAAATAAAATTAAACCGTTCTCTTTATTTAATTATATTTAACTTCTAATAAAAATAACATATCATCAAGTATGGAATTTTATTTGTATTTTTTTTCCTTAAGTTCTGAAGTATATATGCGTACTAAGTTTTTAAATAACTTAACTTTAACGGGAATTTTATTACAAACTATATTTTCGTTACCATTTAAAACTTACACATCTAAATTCTATCTGTTATATTATTAAATAATTATACGTTTAAGTGGCTAGACCGAAGTCCCTCATCATAGTCATCCGAGCGGAAACGCTTGGAGATAAGTACCGAATCCGTGATTAGTGTGAGCCATGGTGTATTAATAATTATATCATTACAAGATGGTGTAAGCATGGGTGTAAGCCAAAAACAAATAAAAAAATTAGTTACCAATTTGATTCATTGGCAATTGCTAAATTCCTACCTGAAACGCAATTGAAAAATCCCTAGTTGTAGAAGGTGATGATGCTGCTGGTGTGCACTACTTCAAAAATCTTTTGGAAGAAACACAAACATAAAGACTGGTTAGATTCTGATGATATAAATATGTTGGATTTAACAATTTCCTACCTAGAACTTGCTTATAACACCGCTGTTGGTAGCGCCGCTGATGAGACACTGCCCCAATAAACAACTGTAGCCAGCTCTAAAACTTAAAAGGTGCTGTTCGAAAAACCTTTTGTGAGAAAAATACATTAGTTTGGTGAATGCATTTAGTTTGCGAAACTTACCTGGAATTATCTTGAATAAATCGCTGCTTTTTGCGGGATAATAGCTCA